TGATTCGATAACGTTCAGTAAATTAAAAAGCATTCTAAAAATTTCAAATATTAATTTTAACCATCCCAGAGGGTCAAACACGCAAAACGGAGCGGCCGAAGTTTTTCAGCATGGGCCGCACGTGCGGCTGTGAGCCCAGCACGTGCGGCAGTTGGCCCCGCACGTGCGGCTTGGAAGCCTCGCACGTGCTTTTTTAGCAGAAGCCAGGAGCCAAAAATTTTCCATTTCCCGCACGTGCGGCCTTGACTCCCGCACGTGCGGCCATGACCCCCGCACGTGCGGTGATTCCTCTGTGAGAGCAGTCCGAAATTCAGACACAAACCCATTTTTGGTGAATATTTACATGGCTCAAAACAGTCTTAATAAGTGCTAAAACATGGTGCAAAAATCATGAAATTAGGAGGTTCAAACACATAACATTCTGTATTTGCGTAAGATACTGAATGTCTTTTCTAGATCGGCTATATGATTCTGTTCTTCTTTGGACTTGACCACCATATCGTCGATGTATACTTCCATAGTGTGGCCGAGTTGCTCTTTGAACATGGCGGTGACCAGTCTTTGGTAGGTTGCCCCTGCATTCTTTAGCCCAAAAGGCATAACCTTGTAGCAGTAGGTTCCTCTTGGGGTGAGGAATGCAGTTTTGTCCTGGTCTTCTGGATGCATGGTGATTTGATGGTAGCCTCTGTAAGCATCGAGGAAGCTCATACGTTGATGGCGTGCCGTCGCGTCTACAAGTTAGTCAATTCTGGGTAAGGGAAAACAATCCTTGGGGCAGGCTTTGTTCAGGTCCGTGAAATCGACGCACACTCGCCAAGTCCCGTTTTTCTTCTTCACCACTACTGTATTAGAAAGCCATGTCGGGTAGGTCACTTCCCTGATTGCCCCGGCGTCAAGCAGCTTGTCAACCTCCTCAACGACGGCGACAGTGTGCTCTACGGCTGACTGCCGGCTTTTCTGAACGATTGGCTTGCACTTAGGATCAACATTCAAATGGTGCTGTGAGATAGACGGATCTATACCCGGCATCTCATATGGAGTCCACGCAAAGACACCAAGGTTGCTAAGTAGGAAAGAGATTAGTTGCTGTTTGTCGGCCTGATTCAGGGATGCGCTGACCATGAAGAATTTGTCTGGGCTGCCATCGATTTCAACTCGGTCTAAGCCTTCCGTGGCCTTTTCATTTGGGAGCCGCCTAACATCGTCGAGGCTCTCTCGATCTGGCACCTCAATAGAATTCACCTGCAGCTCCTTCGGTGTTTTTTCAGCAAGGAGATAACATGCTTGTGCCGATTTTTGGGAGCCACGGATTTGCTCAATACCGTGTTCTGTCGGGAAGCGTATCAGCTGATGATAGGTGCTTGGCACGGCTTGCATTGTATGTAACCAAGATCGCCCCATGATGATATTATACGGCGACGGCAGCTTGACGACCAAGAATTCTACATCCACTGTTCGGGAGCCTGCTCGAACGGGTAGTGTGATCTTTCCCAACGGGTTCTCTGGATGGGCGTTAAAGCCGAATAGTAGATACGGGGCTGGAGAGAGATCCGATTCGGAGAAGCCAAGTTTGGTAAATGTCTTATAGTACATAACCTCCGATGTGCTCCCCAGATCAATGAGTACGCGCTCAACTGTGAACCGGTTTATGTGTAACTCAATTACCAATGGATCAATATGGGGCAGTGTTACTCCAGCCAAATCTGAATCATCAAAAGTAATGCCCGCGGCTTCATGGGGCCATTTAACCGGAGTGAGTTAGTTTTGAGGGTCGGAGTTCGACTGAATCGTATGCACCGCCGATGACATTGGCAGGCTGCATATTATGTGGATCACGCCGAGTGGAGGTGAATCTTGTCTTAAGGTTATTGCTTTGGTCGGGTTGCCTTTTCGGACGTACTGTTGCAGCCGGCCATCTTGTACCAATTCCTCCAAGTGATCCTTCAGTGCATAACAACTCTCAGTATCATGGCCATGGTCCTTGTGATACTCACACTGTCTATCTTATCTTCTCGTGTCGGAAGGTCCCACCATTTTCGACGGCCATTTGAAGAACGGAAGGTGTTGGATTTTGGACATAACCACACTGATCGGCTCTGTCAACTCCGTATATTTCTTGTCAGTGCACCTCGTGCGCCTGCTGTCAACTTGCAGTTATTCATTTTCTCAGTGGGAGCATTGGTCGCTTGATCGGCGGGAATCCCGCCTCTTGTCTCGTTTCGCCCGATGATGTCGTGGTTCAGGGCTCTGAGGTGCTACAGAATTTAACAGCTGAACAATTTCAGTAGGAGCTATCTTGTTGGTCACATTGCCGGCTTTAACCCTCAAGGCATCATCTTCTACTTTACAGTATTCTTTAACTTTCTTTATCAACGACCAAACTGTTTTGGGGGGCTGTCTGGTCAAAGAGCTGCGGAGGACATTGTCGCGATGCAGCCCCATCTTGAAGGCGGTGATGGCCATGGAGTCATTGCAAGCATCGTCTACCAGATTGAAACATTCCCAATATCGCACCGAGTAGGCACGAAGGGTTTCCCCTGGTTGAATCTGTATTGCCCAGAGGGAATCGGCTTGCTTTGGCTGGACCTCATTAATGATAAACCTTGCTCTGAAGGATTTTTGGAGTTGGTGAAAGTTTTTAATCGAAGCCGGCTCCAGTTTGTAATACCACCTGACAGCTAGTGGTCCCAAACTGCTCGGAAATATTTTGCACATCAAAGCCTCGTTATCTGCATGCAGTGTCATGGCTTGCTTGTAATGGCGGATGTGATCGGTGGGATCTGATTTTCCATCGTACAGGGTGAATGACGATGCTTTGAATTTCTTGGGTAACACTGTCTTTGCAATCCGTCGTACAAAAGGATCGTGTTGATCTTTATCCAAACTGTTTTTTCTTTGCTTATGCCTTATATGGGGACTCTCTTAAGAAGAACTAGAAGTTTCAGATCGTCTCTTCTTCTTGGGCTCCGGGGATAATGAGTCGGAGTCGTTATCAGTGTCTTGATGTCGGGCTCGAGATTGTCGACCACCTGCCCTCACAGGTCGTTCCGGGCCTTGGTGTATAGCTTGTTTGGATTTCGCCACCTCTAAGGCCAAATCCTGACGGAGGCTTTCGTTCTCTGCGATCATGTTCTCCAACTTTTGTTTGTTTTGCTTTGCTTGTTCCATGATCGCTTGTATTGCTTCATGCTCTGGAGTCGAGGGTGAGGCGAAGTTCAAAGCGCGTCTTGCGGGGATAGTCTCCGGTCCAAGCATGTTTGTTGGAGTGAGGTCGTCTCTCTGCGTGGTTTCACCAGTGACTATCGGAGGGTCTTCCGTTACGCTCGCCATGGATGTGTTTGAGTATTCCCACAGATGGCGCCAATTGTAGAGAAGTGGTTTGGAAATACTCTTTTGATCCTGGGGGACGCTCGTGATCCTCTGCTAGTCACTTGAAAAGGAATAAACACTTTGGTCGGGGGTGCCGAAATTAGCACTCTGACGGGCTAGTCAGTCTCAACACTCAAGATTACTTGTATTCTAAGTTAAATATAATGGCTCTCACATACCTCTCTCTGGCTGATATTCTTCTATTTATATCTTTTCTTTCTTGGACCTCGGGATTAGGTCCATTTTCGACACTTTCAATTCGCCATTCGGCTTCTTTTGTAGTAGACCGCTTTTTACTCGGCCCCTTGCTTAACCGGCTATTTGGCCGAGTAGGATTGGATTCGAGCATGCGAGCCGACGCCGAATGCCACATATTTCGACTCTCCCAAGTCTAACTATCCGGAATCTCTACGATTCCGAATACTCAGCCCCCACAGTTCAATACATAGAAAGTTTAGTACATAGAACTTTCTCGGAAAAGATCACAGAACACTACAAAATGTTTGAGTTGGTTCCTAGCATAGCACCACGTTAAAATTGCAATAGACAAATTAACTCACAACACCAATTTACAATAGACAAATTGAGGCCAAAATAACAGGCACAAGCTGCTTTGATTGTTATGCGGACTTGACTTTTTGTTTTATTTAATGTGGACTTTGTCTTGACTCACTGCACCAAGAGTTGCAAAGACAAATTGAGACCAAAATAACACACTTTGATTCCGTGGACTTTGTCTTGACTCAGTACACCCAAGTGGTAAAGACCATTGGGAAAATTATATTATGGTAACATAGGCAAATCTGTATTTTAACTTGATTTTTACTAATTAAAATTTGTAGTTTTAATATTTTTATATTGATTTTGAAAAGATAACATAATAGTACATGTCATGATGAATGGGTAGAGTAGAGTATTATATCAAACAAAAATGCTACAGCTCCAGAAATAATTATCCAGACTTGTTCAGATTGAATTTCAAGTGTATTTAACCATTGATGAAACAATCAAAACCTTGTATTCGTTCAAGTCTGGATGATTATTTCAATCAATCAAAACCAGAGATTGATTGTTCCAATTTGAATTTTAAATCAATCCAAACTTCTGTTTGTTCACACACTTAAATTATATTTTAATAATATGTGAACAAAATTGAACTTCAAAAAGTGTGCGATGATCAAATCAAAGAAAACTGTGTTGTCTTCTTTTATTTACCTATTTTTGTATTGATAAACCCATCTTTTTTTTGTTTTTTTGTTTTTTTAGGTTCACACGAGTACTTGTTAGTGGTTAGTAGGAGAAGGGGACAATACAAATGTAGTGTTTGGTTCACAAGAGTGAAGTGGAATGAATTGTCATTCCAAATGAGTTTTATAAATAGAATCGTCATTCACCGTTAGAAGGGAATGACCATTCAATTTCGTATCAGTCCAATTAATAAAATAGAACAAAAGGGTATCAAACACATATTCATAGTATTTGGATCTACAACCTCACACTATAAAGTAATGTTTGTGTTTAACCCCACTTTTTCATTGAATGACTGGATGACTTGTGAAAATGATGTCATGTGGGATTAGAAATTACAACCTCCCTAATCTCTTGATATCCCCTCCCATCCCCTTTCTCTCATGTCTACTAGCATTACTGTTCTTGCTGTTGCCCCGTTTCTAATGAATTGCTTTCATGGTTTAAGAAGTGATCGTCATCATCATCATCATCATGATCCTCACCACTGTGATCAATACTCTTCCTCTTGTGGAGGAGATGGTGGTGGAAATACTCTTAACATCAGTTACCCATTTCGATTTCAAGGTGACCCAAAAAACTGCGGAAACAAGAAATACGAGCTTACTTGTGAGAACAATCTTCCAATATTTCAATTCTCCTCCGGTGCTAAATACTACGTGCTGGCAATCAACTGCAACAACTATACAATCCGACTGGTGGATGTTGGGATACAGAATGGAAACTGCTCCTCTCTCCCTCTTTATCCGTTATCCAATGGTAACTTATACTGTGTTCATGATGAACCTATCCATATGACTTGTTATGGGCGCTTGGCTAACTGTCAAGGTGCGCCCATCCAAGGGTCAATACCTTGATGCCACACTCATTTGTGCCCTTTGGAGAGCCCAAAACATGCCTAAGAAGTTGTTGGTACAAGTGCAAACAAATGCCCAAGGTATAGTGGAAGATAGCCCAAGACATGCCATGCAGCAACCTAGCCACAACCTAGCCACAACATGCCACAGACTTGCCTGCCCAAGTAGCAACTTTAGGCCAACTTTTGGAGGGTCAAATGTAGGGTATGTTTGGTTTGAGTTTGGGAGATGAGTTTTAGAGATAAAAAGTATGAAAAGTTGTTTGGTTTGGTTTTTTTCAAATGTAATCTTTTTGCCTTGTAAATTTTTATGTAAATACCTTAGTATTAAAGGTGTTTTGGGACCAAGAGTTATAATTTTTCTCTTTTTGTAGAATTTTTAAAAATCCATTATGACTCCTCAAACATAGTGGATATTTCATCCTGCCAGCTAGGAAAAGGTTTAACAAGCTATATTAAGGAGGGGGTACCCAAGTGTTGAACCAGACCACTTGTGCCTTTAATGTACCCCAACCTAGTTTATGGTAAGACAACTTTTGTAGCACTTTTGGTACATTGTTCAACTATTGTAATGCCTTCTTTTGATCAATGAAAAGTTCATTTCGCCTCTAAATTGTGCAAAGCTTTTCTAGTATTGCTTGCTTTAAATTTAGCTTGTTGCTTGTTATTTTGTGACTTGTCTCCAATCTTGTGGCTCATCAGCTTAACTAATATTGTGTTTACTTGTCTTTGCAAACCTTTTAAGCTTTATTGGCGGGCTAGTGAAGAGAGTTAACTAGCGCCACACACACTTGCATATCTTTGTCAAGGCTTCCGTGTTGCCGGTGTGTAACAGTTGGTATTAGAGCCCAGTCTATTTGGCTTTCTCTATTATTGGCTTTCTAAATGGATGCTACTGGCAATCGTCAACCCACGCAAAGGGAGAGAATTGAGCTCTTGGAGCAGTGTATGGACAACATGGAGGCCATGGCAGCTTCATTGGCCAACCTTGAGCAATGGCTTCATGATCTTGAGCAAACTCATAGCCTTACTCAAGGGCAAGATTTTGAGGATGTTGTCACTAAACTCAGGCTAGAGATTGAAGACCTCAGTGGCCGGGTTGGTGTTCTTACCCGTGCCTTTGGTAACGAACCTAGTAGTGGCATGGAATTCACTAGGGCGCGTGTGTGGGGGCACCCGAGCCCCGTGTCTACGGTGGCACCCGAGATGCCAAGGAGTTAGACAACTTTCTCTTTGATATAGAGCAATATTTCAAAGTTGTGAAAGCCGATGCTGAGGAGACAAGGATTTCTATGGCCACAATGTATTTGTCTGGTGATGCCAAGTTATGGTGGCGGACTAAACATGATGAGATGCGACGCGGTTTATGCACAATTGAGACTTGGGAGCTACTTAAGCATGAACTTAAGCTCTAATTCTTCCCCGAAAATGTTGAGTATAATGCCCGGCGTGCTTTGCGGGATCTCAAGCACACCGGCACTATAAGAGATTATGTGAAACAATTCTCTGGGCTTATGCTAGACATCAAAGACATGTTAGAGAAAGACAAGCTCCTCTTCTTTCTTGAGGGATTGAAGCCATGGGCCAGAGTTGAACTTCAAAGTCAAAGAGTACAAGATTTAGCCCATACACAAGCAGCAGCTAAGTGCCTTATGGACTACGCCGAACCTAAGCAATGGGATAGTGGTTCCCCGCGCAAGAGTAGGGGAGGTGGAAAGTCCCAAGGCTATGGCAAACCTAAGAGTGGGGGAGTAAACCCTTCTATATCCAAAACCCATTCGGGTGGAGGACAATGACAAGAGAAGAGCTATAGTGACAAGGCAAAAGCCCCTCAACAATTTTCTAGAAGCAAAGCAAAAAGGCCCTATCTCTTGTTTCTTATGCAATGGGCCACACAGGTTATCTGAATGTCCATAAAAGTGTGCCTTGAATGCTCTAGCAACCGTGTCTGACCATGTCTCTCAACCAAGTGATGATGATAACAAGGAAGAAGATGTGCAGTCTAGGCGAAGTGGCAAGGGTTCTAAGGCAGCTGACTGTAGAGTGGGAGCCTTTCATATGATGAATGCCATGGAGAAGAAGGCTTCTACATGGAGGCCTAAGAAGAATGCCAAGAGTGGCAAAGTGGCAAACATTCAGATCCTAAACAACTTGTGGAGTCCAAAGATGGAGGCAAAGGGAAGAAACCCATGGATGGGGAATCGTCAGGCAAGTTGAACAAGAGCAAGTCATCCAACAAAGATTTGATGTTTGTAGATGTAAAACTTAATGGGAAGCCCCTCCGTGCTTTGATTGACACAGGGGCCACCCACAATTTTGTTGCGGGGGCCGAAGTTGAAAGACTTGGGCTATCTTTAGAGAAAGATGACAGCTGCATCAAGCTGGTTAACTTGGCAGCTCAGCCTATCTATGGGGTTGCAAAATCTGTTCATTTGAAGGTTAGCCCTTAGGAAGGAATAGTAGATTTCACCGCAGTACCCATGGATAACTTCCAAGCCATCCTTGGGTTGGATTTCTTGAGAAGCACAAAGACGACAGTCATGCCTTATTCTAATAGTATGTGTGTCATGGGGGATAAACCATGTCTCATTCCTACTATGGCCACCAATAACAGTGGCCGGTTTGTCTCAGCTATGCAACTTAAGAGGGGTGTTAGGCATGGTGAACAAACTTGGGTTGCCGCAAGTGACCGGTTTGTCTCAGCTATGCAACTCAAGAGGGGTGTTAGGCATGGTGAGCAAACTTGGGTTGCCGTATTGAAGTTGAATGAAGCTCTCGAATCTACTCATGTTCCAGCCACAATCAAGAAGGTCTTAAGACAATTTGCAGATGTTATGCCAGAACAGTTGCCTAAGGAGTTGTCTCCACGCTGAGGTGTGGATCATGCTATCAAGTTGGTGCCAAGGGCAAAGCCACCAGCTCGTGCACTATATAGAATGGCTATTCTTGAGTTGAATGAGTTAAGGAAGTAGCTTACAGAGTTGTTAGAAGTAGGCTTCATAGGCCATCTAAGGCCCTATTTGGTGCACCTGTCTTATTCCAAAAGAAGTATGATGGTAGTCTTCGCTTATGTGTGGATTATCGGGCACTCAACAAGTTGACCATCAAGAACAAATATCCGCTTCCTCTCATTGCAGATTCATTTGATCAATTGAGCAAAGCAAGGTATTTCACAAAACTAGATCTTCAATCGGGGTACTATCAAGTAAGAATTGCCGAGGGAGACGAGCCTAAAACTACTCGTGTTACTCATTATGGCTCTTATGAGTTTCTTGTCATGCTATTTGGCTTGACCAATGCCCCAACAACATTTTGTACCATAATGAATGAAGTTTTTCAAGAGTATTTGGATCAATTCATGGTAGTATATTTGGATGACATTGTAATTTATAGCTCCACTTTAGAAGAGCATGTGGAGCATCTTCAGAAAGCCCTTACCAAGTTGAGAGAGCACAAGCTTTATGTCAAGCTAGAGAAGTGTTCTTTTGCCCAAGAGAGGATTAAGTTCCTAGGGCACATTGTTGAGCATGGATGCATCAAAATGGACCAAGAGAAGGTCAAGGCTATTCAAGAGTGGCAGCCACCCACTAATGTCTCGGAGTTGCGGTCATTCCTTAGGTTAGCTAATTATTATCGCAAGTTTGTTGAAGGCTACTCAAGACTAGCTTCCCCATTGACAAAGTTGCTAAAGAAGGGCAAGCCATATGTTTGGACAGAGGAGTGCCAACAAGCCTTTCAAGCCTTGAAAGAAGTTATGTCAAAAGACCGGTTCTTACTTTACCTAACTTAGGTAAAGCTTTTGAAATACAAACTGATGCATCAGATTTTGTTTGGGTGGTGTTCTTCTATAGGATGGTCACCCAATTGCCTATGAGAGTAGGAAGCTCAATGATGCTGAGCAGAGATATCCAGCTCATGAGAAAGTGTTGCTTGCAGTAGTGCATTGTCTAAGGACTTGGAGGCACTACATCTTGGGCTCATGGTTTGTTGTAAAGACTGACAACACGACGGTTAGCCATTTTTTAACCCAGCCCAAGCTAAGCGCACGACAAGCACGGTGGCAAGAGAAGTTGGTAGAGTTTGATTTTGCCTTAGAATACAAGGCTGGTGCCACCAACCATGTTGCTGATGCACTAAATAGGAATGTGGAGCTTGCTATGTGCCATCATGTATGTTCACTTACTTCTATTTCAACCAGCATCAAGGAGAAAATCAAGGCTCATCTAGACAAGGATGCTATGGCAGAGAATCTTATGAACCTTGTCAAAATGGGCAATACTCGCCAATTTTGGGTGCAACATAGATTTCTAATGACAATAGGCAACCGCATATTTGTACCCAGGGCTGGTGATTTAAGAAAGACACTTCTTAGGGAGTGCCATGATACACTTTGGGCAGAACATCTAGGTTGGGAGCGAACATTGGCCTTGGTGAAATAAGGATATTATTGGCCCCAAATGCGTGATGATGTGGAAGAATATGTCCGCACTTGTCTCACTTGCCAATAAGACAAGGTTGAGCATAAAAAGAAAACAGGCTTGCTTGAATCTTTGCCCGTGCCTAAACGTCCGCGGGAAAGTGTATCACTTGACTTCATCATTGGACTGCCTAAAGTGGGAGACATCGGGACTATCTTGACTATTGTGGACTGATTCTCCAAGTATACCACCTTTGTAGCTGCCTCAAAGTGTGTTTCAGCGGAGGAGACCGCCTAACTCTTCTTCAAGCACATTGTTAAATATTGGGGTGTGCCTAAAAGTATTGTTAGTGACCGAGACTCGCGTTTTGTTGGCAACTTCTGGACGGAGTTATTCAAGCTTCTTGGGTCACAACTTAATACTTCATCAAGCTACCATCCGGAGACGGATGGGCAAACTGAACGCTTTAACTGTAAGCTCGAGGAGTATTTGAGCCACTTTGTCAATACTAATCAACGAAATTGGGTGCAACTTCTTGACGTATCACAGTTATGCTTCAACTCTCAAAAGGGTAGCTCTACGG